GCATTTATATATTATTTTAATATTTATATATGAAGCACACAAGAATCTTTACGTACATTCTGTTTCAAGAGCAGTACCATTACCATCCTCATTATTCACCCCTATTATATTTGCCCAGTTAGGTTTCTATAAAATCAAGAACACCCTCTCTGTAGAAGATGGGCAGCTTTACAATAATATAACATTTTGTCTTAGCAATTATGTATAATTATAACAAAAGAATATTCACCCTCTACTGTTTATATAGCCAAAAGGTGTCACGTTTGCTACATGGCATTATTTTTTTTTGCCACGTGGGGTATTGTTAATGGATAGAGTGAGGGCATCCATAAAAGAAACAAAAAACAAGAAAGTAGTAAGTGTAAAAACAAAAATTTTAAATTAAAAAGGAAACTCAAGAAAAGAGGACAGTACTGAAATACAGAACAGACCACAAAACACACCACCAACATAAAACACAAAGCACAGCATGCAGCAAAGCGAGGCGAAGAACGAACCCTGTGGAGTATTGGGGAAGGCAGCAGACTAGAGAAGATCCCAGGATAAGTAGAAGTCAGACCAGGAAAGCAGGCAGAGGACAGAGGTACTTCTACCCATAACCTCCTTTGCGTGAAGCGAGACAGCCATTCAAGCTAGAAACACGATGGGAATGTCAAGTCAGAAATGAGAAGATGCAAAATAAGACTAGATGTTACTGTGCAACTCCATCATGGACTGTTCTCGGGAATCATAGCGTTATATCATGTTAGCCATCGAGAGACGCAGGAAAACATAGAGGTAAAGCATAACTCTGGGATTGGTACACCCAGTCACCTTCCAGTGAAGGTTCCCCAACCTGTATATTGGTTTTTTTTATTCAAATACTCACCGATTCTGAAGTCTCCCTTCTTCACTGGGCTTGGAGGCCCTCAATGATGCAGCAAGCCTCGCTGATGTGATGGTGTCAGTGCCATTCCAAACTATTTCACAGGGAATGCAGGATTCCGTGGTGATATCTCCCGCTATCTCGTTTCGCTGACCTGTCCCCAACGAAGACTTTGCTGTTGACACTTCTTGCCTGCATGCTGCTGACCCAGCTTGCTTCCCGACTCCATTGGTGACCTGCTCTATCCTTATACCTCAACCTGCTCGAAGACATCATTCCAAAGCCCGACCAACCCCAACATTCCATTATCGGCTCTTGTGCCACTCTATCCTGCCAACATTCCCTGCCCACCCACTCATGAGTGTTTGGACTAAAGCAGTAAGAGGGGCCGTCACTGTCATCTAAAAGCCACCATTGTCATCTCGGGCTCTGCATCCAAGTACATGACCGCTGGGTCCCCACATTGCAATCTACAGGCAGATGCCTCCTGCCCATCTTGAAAAGTACTTTGGCTTGTGTGGAGATTTGACTTACTTGGCGGTGGAAATAAATCTGTGGGTCTCTTTCCAGTACGGCAGAAGGTTGGTGCTCTCTTCATCCAGAACTCTAATATTTATATATTTGAAAGTCTCGGGGAAGAAGTTGTCAATTTCTCGAGTGACGTTAAGTATGTGTGTAACCCTGGACAAGAACAAAAACAAACAAACAAACAAACAAACAAACACATTATAGGAAATGTAAATCCAAACACTGAACTGCTCTTATTTGTTCCCTTTAAGTCTATTAAATATACCATTGAAATCATTTTGTTATATCTGTTCAATGAACGCTCCCACGGTAAACCTGTTCTCTTATCCTAGGACAGGGAGGGTGATACTTTTAGGATCACCAACTAATAAAAGGAAAAAAGACCATAAAAATAAAACTAATGCAACCACAACATCTAAAAAGGACAAGTAAGAGGTGATGACTACATTTGTGTTCTGGTGTTTAGCTCCCCCTGATGGCGCTGACAAGTATAGGAAACTCCTATAGTTGTCATCCCCATGGAGGGGTGCTAGTGCCGTGCGAAGAACGATGGGCAGAACTTTTATAAATTAGCCCCTTAATATAGTTATATATATATATAAAAACAAAACGGAGTATTGTAGTATGCAATGATACCTTTCTTATTGGACTAACAAAATATATTTCACCTATTCTTCTGAAGTTCTTCCAAATTTGAAGCGTTCCATTCAGAACCCTGAAACACACCCAACAGACAGCACGGGCTTTAGAACCATGTTTATCAACTACGACCACCAACAGATCCATGTACATAGGTGACATCATGCAAGTGTTTTTGTCTATGTCAAGCCGAAAACTTGATTTAACTTCAGTACTGCTTTAAAGGGCTCAGTGAGGAAGCTGTTCTCTTTTACCAGACAGGAAGTGAGGGAAAAGTGGCCTGTTGTAGGCCGACAACGTCAATCCCCTGCCATGCAATTATCCGCAGCATTGTCAGCCTGCCATACACCTTGGGCTGCCCAACTGCCAACCAGCGTGCATAGCAGGCTGACAATGCTGCTGAAAATTGCGAGGCAGTGGCTCAGCTTTGTCAGCCTGCAACAGGAAGTTGTGTTACTGGCAGGATCTCCAAGGAAGACATTTTGGAAAAGATTCACAAATAACAATGTTCTTAGGAAAAGTGAGACATGAGGATAAAAAAATACTCCTTTTAGATTAGTCTTTGTAGAACTACATCCATTTCTGCACCACGTCATAGATTTACACTGGCTATTGACACATACAGTACATGCCCATGGCCGCTATCACAGCACGGTATACTTGTACTTGCACTGACCAAGGAGCTGAACACAACAACTCCCACCTGGGGATTGCAAGCAGTCTAAATGGTATAACACCCATAATGAAGGGACAGAATACACTGTTGATAAGAGGTACATGCTGATGAAGGGATTAAAGAGAACCTGTCACAAAAGGTAAAAAAATGTGGCCACATACCTATAAAGAAGAACCTTACCACTCCTGCTGCCCACACCACTTAACACCCCTCCGTTGCTGGGAAATCTTCCCCAAGGTCTGCTGTGAAACTGACACAGGAGTGTTTATCTGGATCTCTGACATTGCTCCTGCTGACCTCCACAACATTACTCCAGCTGTTGCAGAACTATAAGTCTCATGAGTTATTGCAAGACGGACAGTTACAGGCATGACCCCTAGAGGCAGAGGCATGTCAGGATTTGTAGTTAAAATGCAGCTGAGGGCCGGAGTGCCCACCCAGATCTATCCTGTAACATGAAGATTAGCAGGCGGCACCACTGGGCTCCGTGGGGGACCAAGATTTACATTCATGAAAAGTTGGCTTCCCATGGGACTTTGAGGGATCACTTTTCATGGAAGGTCAGTTTTCCCCAGCAAGTAAATGCATATTTTCTTTACAGGGTATGCTTTGTTGGAGCATTTCTGTTTAGCAACAGGTCGCTTTAAGGGCTTGTTTACACCCTGTCTGTCGAGCTTCGTTTTTCTGCACACCACTGAACATGTATTGCACGCAAAAAGATATACAGCGCAACAGACCTGGTGTTAACAAGCCCTTTAGGTAAGTGCTCTGTGCTACCCAGAACAACCAATCAACAGCCATCTGTCATTTGATTCTTTGCATTGGCTGACAAAAAAAAAAGAGAGCGAGCTGTCAATCAGACTATACCAAATACAAGTAGGGGAAGATCTCTGAGGGCCGGTCCATTTGTGCCAGGATCATTATCATCTCGTTATCAATGAACTCGGTGTAATCCTGCAAATTGCAATGTGTATGCTGCTCCAGAGCATTCCGGACCTAGAATAAAGAACACAGCTACATCAGATTTCATGTTTCACATTAGTTAGTTGTTATGGATTACTGCACTTGGTACACCGTTCTTGGTTCTATTAAATAATAAATACAACATTACGATTAATAAATCCCTTGCAGCGGAGTTCCTCATAAAAAAAAATTACAGGTTGCCACTGCTGACATCCTCCTGAAAATGAGAGTTGCCATAGCCGAGTACCATTGAGTTAGTATGAGCCAAGCAACTAGCATTTTCAGTAGAGGTCAGCAACAGTAACCTGCCATATTATACATAGTATAGTTTACCTTGATTGCCTACCAGTAGCCATAAAGTCCAGATTTCTCTACAGCACGTGCCCTCAGTTACAGCTCACCCTAAGGCCTCATTCACACGGCTTAAGGTGCCCATATACTGTGCGATTATCGCACGATAATCGCGGGAAATCCCGCGATCGTACGATAATGGCAAAGTGTGTGGAAGGCATGCGACCGTTTTTACTGTACGGTCGCACGTCTTTTGTCTAAGGAGCATGTTCGAAAACCAGCCGAAAATACGTACGGTTTTTACATTACTTTACAACCATCGCAAGACTAAGGTCTTGCAATGAATGTAAAGTGCATGGCCACCTTTAGAGTCGGCCCGTACAGATCTGTGCGGCGTGCACGGCCATATTGGGCCATTCTTGGGAAAGACAGGTGCTGCATGTGATTGTACGCAGCAGCCTGTTCTTCCCTATGGGAGGACGCGGCCGTACGCTCACCCGAACTGCATATCCGCGCGGGATTGGGTGTCTGTGCTCGGACGCAGAGAGGATCCATCCTGTCTGCGTATGAGTACAGACACCCGCTTGGATGTGCAGCTTGGGTGAGCATACAGCCGCGTACTCCCATAGAGAAGAAGGCTGCTGTGTACAATCACACGCAGCACCTTTCCTTCCCGGGAACGGCCCGATATGGCCTTACAAGCCGCACGGATCTGTACAGGCCGACTCTAGGCAGTGTGAATGAGGCCTAAAGGTCCCCTATGAAACATCTCCTGCATATTACTTTTGTCCAGGAGCTTCCTGTAATAAAGACTCTCTCTCCTTATTGGTCTCCTATCTGCCCCATCTGTAAATTTTCTGCAGGCAGCCTGTAGTGGGAATCCCACCCACAGCTCTTCCCACTGCACAGGCTATATCATCACTACTTTCAAAAAGGTACTATATAGGGATGCAAAGGCAAGTGGATTAAGGTCTATTGTCACGATGTGCAGCACCTTTTTGTTGACCCTCCATATGGTGTTTATAGAAATGACATAACCAAGCATTGTGTCTCTAAGTGGTTTATGATAATTCAGTGGACATGCCCTCAAGCTCAGAAACTTATAAATGCATCAATATTTCCAGATGACCATGTTTTATAGTCCGACAGCCAACATATCACGAATTGACGAAGACCATACACATAAACTGGAAACACACATCGCCTATTAGATGTAATGCAGTCAATTTGCCTTCTGGACATAATTGCATAGACGTGTTTGGTATCTACTTGATGGTTATTTTTTTATCCATTTTGGTAGACACTTGTTATGAATGTAGTTGTATTATATCAGGATTAGCAGAATATGATCATATTTTGATTCTGGCAGTTGAAAAAGCAATACATATCCAGGTCTGGTGTTTTTTTTTTTTAAACACTGTTGGTTATGCTCATTCAGATTTGAGGAAGACTCATGTGGGAATGTCTATCTGCATGTGTCTCGATGCGTGCTGGCCCATTCACCTGCTTAGATGTTATATTCTCAAGGTCGCTTTCCCGCAAGATATCTCGCAGTTTTCTTCGGATGATCTTCTCATTCTCCTCTCTGCAATCAAGAGGCAAAATGAATATATTTGGGAAAAACACATGTATTTTTTTACAAACAGCTGGAATATCCTCCTTTATCCCCTGGTTATGAAATCCCAGTTACCCCAACACCTATTTACATTTATCTATCCACTTTGAATAAATTGCTAATGCACCACAATGGACAGTGGTGAAAATTGGACATGCACCATTTGCCCGATACAGCACAACGCATGGTAGGCAGCTGCGTTTCTTAAGTGCAGTGGGGTGCCTGACTGGCAAGGAATGTCGAAGGAAAAATAAAAAAACATTTAAAAAAGGAGAACTATGAGGTGAGTGATTTTCACTCATCCTCATAGTTCGAGCAGACGTGTGACAATGAAACTGTCACAGGTTGGCTCAGTAGATTGGGAAGAGAGCGAACACATACCGGCGCTCGCTCACTTCTCTGCAGAGAGCCGTGACTGTCACTCACGGCTCCCTGTAGGGAATCCCCCCCTCCCCAATCCTCCAGCGCTGGCTGGTGGAATGGACGGGGGAGGGGGTGGGTACAGCTGGCTCTGCCTCTAGATAGGCAGAGCCAGCTGTCAATCACGCAGCTGGGTGGATCTCTACAGTTATGTCGGGATCCGTCCCGGCTGCGGCGTCTCAGTATACTGCGAGCCATAGCTCGCAATATACTGAGCTTTGGGTCACAGGAGGACGCTAGTTTATGTCCTCCCGTGACCCTTAGGAGAACTATGGGAAAAAACACTTACCCCATAGTTCTCTTTTAATACCTGCAAATTCCCCCATGTTTTGTCTCTTAAAATACACTGCAAGTACAGAAAACCCCTCACTGGACCTGACAGAAATCCAGTGAGCTCCTAACTACCTGTGCACTTCGCGTGAGCTGCACTGAAATAACAAGTAGTGTTATCAGCCCTGCCCTATCCTGCTCAATGGACTACAGAACACCTTCCACCTATGTTAAGTGCATATTACATAGTTGTTGAGGCTGAATAAAGACACAGGTCAATCGTGTGTGTGTGTTACTAAGAGCACCAATTAAAGATTGTTACATAATGTTACAATCTGACTGTACAATCAAATGTAGATTTACCAAAACTATGTAAAAGGCGGACCTACCTAAACTATCCAGTCAATCTGCATCCAATCTGGCAGGCCCTCACACTACCTTGTTGTTGGTAGATCTAAAGGAAAATTTTACATTCAGACTGGAACGTGTGTGTGGTGAGCTTTATGGTGATGGAGGAGAGGGGAAGATGTCTTAGAGTCCTAACACATGTCCGGTCACAAGGTGACGATGCTGCTCCTCTATACACAGGACATTGAGCGAGCATTGTCAATGGGACAGTAAGTGTGTTACTGGCAGGACCGCCAGGTGAAAATAAAAGAAAAGCCTGAAAAGGAAAAAGTAATGCAGCCACAACATTTGAGGACTGATAAGGTACAGTATATGTGTGTGGTAAGCTTTAAACCGTCTCCTTGATCTATAATTTTACTCCATGTTCTCTGACCTCTCTTTGGTGGTGGCATCTCTCCGCACAGAGGTTAGGTCTGCTGTGGCTGCCCAAACGTTAACGCAGTTCTGGGGTGAACATCGGTGATCCTGGTAATATGCCAGCCCACAATGGACAAAGTTGCCGGGGATGTAGTTAGAGAACTCTGCCGCTTCGCAGGCTTTGTGGAGCACCTGAAGAAGAGACCTGCAATCAAAACACATCACAACCAGTGACTATAACATAAAATGGTGCGAAGAATGGATGCACACAACCAGTGACTATAACAAAGTGGTGCGAATGGATGAAAAAAAACAGTCTTGTTATATTTTCTTTACACATGGAATGTATTCTTGTAATACTGTATTATGGCCACTAGATGGAGCTGAGGAGCACAGACAAATAAATACTTTTCCTCATCTCCATCTATAGGCCATAATGTGGTATTACAAGATGAAATTTGAAAAATACATTCCATCTATAAAGAAAATATAACAATAACATTTGTTTTTTCCTCTATCTGCACAGAACGAACATTCACAGAGATTCCCAGGGCCACAGGCCCTGCAAATTGTCTATAAATAGACCCCAAAGTGTTTGTGAACTCTAACAAACTTGTATTTGGTCCGTTATATATGCCATTGAAGTATTTTGTTTGTTTCTGTTCCATAAGAATTGATTCTGCTGATCTTGACCAAAATCATGTTAGCTGATAAATGCCTGTGCTGTACTGTTATCAGTTACATTGTTCCCAGATCTCTCTGTGGACTATAGAACACCTCCCCTATGTTATCCTGTACTAGGGTGACAATGCTGGCTCTCTAGAGCCAGAGCCAGAGCCAGCAGTGCCCGACCCCCTCCCCTCTCATGAGTTCTGGAGGAATGGAGGGGAGGGGGCAATCCCTGGGGGGAGCCGTGACTGACAGTCACCACGCTGCATGGAGAAGGCCGCAAGCAGTTTGTGATCGCTCACCTCTCGATCTATTGATCCTGTACACCTGTAGGGTCACATGCTGGCTCTTAGTATTGGGAAAAGTACATGTTACTCTCCCAATACTTCTCCTTTTAAAGCAGAAGTAAAGCTGTAAAAGGCAATGTGAACTTTTACCATAATGTGCAAGCATACTTACACACCAAGAATGAGCTTTCAATGCTACAGACAGAGCTATTCACAGAATGCAATAGAACATGACATGTAGGAACAGCCAATGTAGTGGACTATTATACAGGAAGAATAGCTGGAATATTCAATAAGTAATGTAATGTTAAACCTACCACATTGTTTGAACAGATATAGGTTTAAATGACCGGACATCCATCCCGATTGTAACGCTGAATCCGCTAAAGAAACAATGGAGGAGATTAAAATATCCGAAGCCTAATAAAGGGTATTGATGGTCAAAAAACAAAAAATAAATATGTATTCTATATTAAATTTCCATAACTTCCCCACTCCTGATTCTAGATAGAAGTTTATAAAGGTACTTATTGAAGATGCCCATGCAATGTACTCCCTCAATGCACTGACACCATTTTAGCCCTGTGAATATGCACTTCCTGTGTCACCACTCTATGCCATCTGAACTTCCCACAATGTAACATCATCACTGCTTGCTGAAAGCAATGCATGATGGGATATATAACCTTATATATCCCATCATGCATAACTTATAGAAATCAAGATTGCGTCACATCAAGCAGCAGGGTAAGAGACGGAAAGCACACTGGGAATCCAGGACGTTGTTGGACGTGAAGGGCTCACGGAAGTCAACACTGAGTACATAAGTGATTTTTTTCTAGTAAGCTTTGATTGCATTATCTAAAACAACTCTAATATGTATTCCTATTACAATGCTGATGTTATAACAGGACATCTGTAAAAAAAATAAGTCAAGGCAACTGAACTTGCTGTATTTTTCTTGAAGACGTTTCACTGGTCATCCAACCAGCTTTCTCATTCTGAATTAAGAAAGCTGGTTGGATGACCAGTGAAACGTCTTCAAGAAAAATACAGCAAGTCCAGTTGCCTTGACTTTTTTTTTTTACAGATATACCATGAAAGAGAACCTTCACAGACTTGTAACAGGACATTATATGCTGGGACTTTACAACTCCTTTAACTGGCGGATTTTAGTATTGACAGAACTTACCCATCTCCATCTATGAAGACCTGTGTATTACTCCATATCGGCAGAACGGAGCCAATGGTGCAGGCGTCAGAGCTATGAAAGTGGAGAAGATCAGTTATAATTTGTGTGTCATAGGAACATTTAGAATCATAAAATGTAACATACACAGGACACAAACATCACTTTACCTTGTTTGTAAGTCCCTCTTAATAAAAACATATATATCATATACATTGGGTAGTGCATAATGTCCATCTCTAATACTAATCCTAACACCTGTGTTCTTCTATTCTCACTTCTGTAGACACATCTACTCTGCATCCAGGGACAATCATCTATCCCGAGCTGCATGTAATCATACCATGCATGATTACATCCAGACTGCCACTCACAGATGTGGCCGCTATCACCCTGTCATTAACTTCAATGTGTACAGCGGCCAAATCTGAAAGGGGCACCTGGGATTCCTGCCGCAGGAATCCCAAAATACCCTGTGTGAATGGGGCCTTACTCCATAGAGCGTCTACCAAAGACCCCCAGCCGATCTAGAAGTCAAACAGTCATAAATGGTTTGTAACATCAGTATGGTAACTGTAACTCATTCAAACTAATGAATGCAATTATTTCATCAGTCAATCCTGAAACAGCAGCAGCACAATTCATGGAATTATGCAGATACCGGCCAGGAGACTCAGTTAATGATCATGAGGTCATGATCGATTGTAGCAGATGGGCCGGTTTGGGTATTTCTGTAACTGCTGATCATCTGGGACAAATGTTTCAGAATTTCCTCAGATTGAGGAGTTCTGTAGAGATGGAAATGCCTTGTTGATGAGAGGTCAGAAGAGAATGGCCAGACTGGTTTGAGCTGACAGAAAGGCTAGTGTAACTCAAATAAATAACCATTCTTCACAACTGTGGTGAGCAGTAAAGCATCTCAGAATGGGCAACCCATAGAACCTTGAGGCAGATGGGCTACAAAAGACTAAATGGCCAGATTGGACTGGGCTTGCAGGAAGGCTAGGGTAACTCAAATAACCATTCTTCTTCTTCACGACTGTGGTGAGCAGTAAAGCATTTCAGAATGGGCAACTCATGGAACCTTGAGGCAGATGGGCTACAAAGGACAAATAGCCAGATTGGACTGGGCTTGCAGGAAGGCTAGAGTAACTCAAATAATCATTCTTCACAACTGTGGTGAGCAGTAAAGCATCTCAGAATGGGCAACCCATGGAACCTTGAGGCAGATGGGCTACAACAGAAGAAGACCACATTGAGTTCTTCAGAAAGCTGAAGCTGCAGTGAGCACAAAGTCACCAAAAGTGGACAGAGATGTAGCCTGGTCTGATAAATGTTGACTTACTCTATGAATAAACAGGTATACAATTGTTCCTAATACATTGCTTGATGAGTGTACATGGATATGAGATGATCATCACCCAATCTGGCCTTTTAAAGTCAAGCTGAGAAACAATTTGTCTGTTGGCTGTGCCAGACTTGTGCAGATACCCAACAATCTCCAGGGAAGGACTGCTCACTAGGTTGGCATTCTGGGTATAGTTCATATTAGACAAAGTTGAGTTGCCTACCCAGGATATAAACATGCACACTTTGCTTGTGTGCCATTTCAATGGATTCAATGTGAATGTTTAAAGTGACCCTTACTCAAATTTTAAGGATTAGCGCACTTCAAAACAAAGTACACTGATCCCCCCCTGACCTAAGCTGCCCCACCTTCCCCCTCCTTAGATGCATACTTGCCTCAATCCAGCGGCTGTGGCCTCCAGTTTTTGTTTACATCCCATCTTGGGCACCAGTCAGTGAGAGGGTGGGGGGAAGGATAAATGCATTATGGTTTTAAGTGGCCACTGAGTGAAGACTTAAAAAAGAGCCGGATAATTGTCTCAGAGGTCCGAAAAACCTTTATTGGCTCCCCAAATGACAGCAAGGAAATATACGCAACCAACGTGTTTCGGCGGTCAGGGCTTAAGCAATGAACAGCAACTTAGTGATAGACTTTAAACTCATAGCCCCTGTACTCAAGACCTTGGCCAGCAGTTCAGCATTTGTACAAGTAAAAGCAGCCCCAACCCCCTAAATGGATGACCCCGTTTTGTGAAGAGCTACTGGAACGGAACCATCAAGCCACAATATTGCTCCTGTGCGACTAGAGAAAGTATATGGCCCAGCACCCCATTCCTAACTCACTCTTGGATTAGTGGCCACTGAGGCATACTTTTTGATCTGACTTTCTTGCTTCTCATACAACAGCAGTGTCTATTAGTAAAGTGTCTTTTTCAATGGTATTATTAGAAAGCCTTACCCATCATGCGGAAAGTCAACACCCAGCAGAATGGTCTGTTCCTCATTGGTCCTTCCCACAGAGGAAACCACTAACAGATATCTGGTTAGACAGGACCGGACAGGCTCCAGCCGGACAGCCTGAGGTGGAGAGATAATAAGCGCATCTTGAGTTGTTAACTAGAACAGAGCAAAACTCTCAAGGATATAATTACATTTAGTATGTTCCTACTTAAAAAGGCCCTGGCACCAACTTAAAAAAATTCAGCTAAAAGTATGGAAAAATTAAGTACTTTAAACACTTTATTGCAGCAAGTTTTTCCTCAAACAATTTTGTATTCATTCGCAATGTGCCATTAAACTTGCTAGGGAATTTGACCACTCCAGTAAGAGTCAATCCCATAGCACAGCATCTTCCCTCCTTGCACATTATAGCGCTCTCTTTTTCTGGGGGGTGTTTACTGTTGTGTTGGCCCAGCTCCTCCAGCCTTCACCCTTCTACATAACCTTTTATGGAGCTGCTGGTGAAGGGGAATACCACAGATTGACAGCTCTGAGTCTGCTGACATTACATACAAGATGCCCAGCAGAAGTCTCAGGGCTTTTGGATGTTTACACGAGGAAGGCCTTTACAGGTATACAAGATGGTGGTGCCCAGCAGAAGTCTCAGGGCTTTTGGATGTTTACACGAGGAAGGCCTTTACAGGTATACAAGATGGTGGTGCCCAGCAGAAGTCTCAGGGCTTTTGGATGTTTACACGAGGAAGGCCTTTACAGGTATACAAGATGGTGGTGCCCAGCAGAAGTCTCAGGGCTTTGGATGTCTACACGAGGGAGGCCTTTACAGGTAAATAACATTCATAAGATACATAAAATGCACCTAATGGGAAAGATTGTTGTTAAAACTAATAGTTTGGGAACAGGGTTTCCTTAAGGGAGCATTCCACATTCAGTATTTTACTGGTTAGAGACCAGTCAACATTTTTTTGAGTCTTTTATATTGCAAACATAAGACCGAGATAGGCTAATGTACAATATTAATGGGTCATATGTAGGGTTACAATGTGACCAATAGAGTTCAAATGTTACACTCCTGGGAATTATATTAGGTTAGTCTTGGGCTGAACCAGGTTGGTTGGGTAAGTGGGTAAAAAAAAGTCTTTAAATTGCGGCCCAGGTTGGGATGGGAGATTTGTAGTTTAAGTCATAAAAGGTCCATGAAGTATGGAAGGCTTTGGCAAAATTGATTATTTTATTACAGACGCCAGATACCTTCACATTTTGGCAAGTCATTTGTGAAGGATGTCTTCAGAAGTATGGATGTTTTTTAGTTTAATATGGACTGTGTTTCCGGAGAGCTTAAGTTCTTTTTCCAATGGTCCATCTAGCTGAAGCTTGAAGAAATGCCACCAATTTCTCCTTGGGTTTGGATATCTCAGGAGGTATAACATTTAGTAAACCCATCCAGGGTGAAGGTTCAACTCCACCAGATATGGTGAAGGGGACTTTGTTTGTGACACCCCCTTAAATAGTCTGGAGAACAGGAAGGAAAAAATGGCTCACCAGTTTTAAAGTGTCCTCGGCCCGTAGAAGTCTCAGCATGGCCTGTAAATGAAGCTCCTGCTCACTAGGGCCAGCAGTCTGTGAGGGTTCTGGCTTTTTAACCTCTTCTGGCTCCTCCTCAAACTGGAGTAATAGGGCAGCCCCTTTGACCATGACAAAGCTCTGTCTGTGTGATGGAAATTGCAGATTTTCAGGGACAGGTTGGGAACGGTCAGAGAAAGACAAGCTATAAGAACACTTTAGCGCAGAGATACATGTCCAGCAGAAAGGGTCTGTATAGAGTCTGACATAAGAAAGGAACAGAAAGAAAGTGAAGAGAGAACACTGCTCCTTTGCTCACCTTCTCTGCATGCGTTTTCTTCGGTTTTTCGCATCTTCCTACAGAAAAAAAACATAAACAAACTCAGAATGGCCATTGTTACATAGTTACATAGTATTTGAGTTTGAATAAAGACATTAGTCCATCAAGTCCAACCTATTAGGATATCATTCTAGGAGTACCTGTACCCCTGTATATTACGTTCCCTTAAGAAATCGTCCAAAAAATTGTTAGTCATTCTTACCAAAACAAATCTGTGTCTGTGGTAACAATTTGTTAAAAGGTAAAAAAAAAGTGAATGGGTTACAAGATCTAAGTGCCGCTTGGGATAGTTTTGTGGATCTCTCAACTACCAATTTTATCAGGTCACAGGATCTCCTACCGTCAACTGCCATGCTATATATAATTGCATCTCCCATCGACTGGCCCTCATAATGAGACACCAGTCCTCTCTTCAACTGCCCCTAATGGGATCTCTCAGGAACTGCCAACAAGAACAGATAATGGGATTTCCTCACCTCAACTATTTCTCATGAACTGCCACTTGTAAAATGACATCCAATATCACACCAATCACTGCCATATATAATGGAACTGAATGTGAATTGGTACCTGAAATGCGTTACTGGATCTATCTTCATTCCTACTTGTAAAAGGTTTTGAGATCTTTCATCATCAGCTGTCTCATAATGAGATCTCTCATGAACCGCCAACTATAATAGGACATGGGTGCTCCCATCAGTAGACTTCTGGATTCCCCATCAATTGCCGTTTTAACAGGTTCTAAGTGGATCCCTCGCCCTCAACTATCACATTCAACGGGTTTTCTCTTGAAGAACCACTCATAATGTGACCTCCAACTGCCACCTATAAAAAGCCAGAGGATCTCTCAAGCTCACCTATCACACATAACAGGATGTTTTAAAATTGGGCAGGTTAACCCATCCCACTAACAGCTACTAATATTGGCTACTGAACCTCTCATTAACGGACGTCTGTAACAGGAAATGGAATGATCAACTGTCACATGTAGTGGGGTCTTGCATAAGCTGGTGCCATATGAGGTTACAGCAACTCATCAACTGCCACTTGTAACCTGCCATATGATCTCTCATCATATGGCCATTGTAGTACAGGCAGGGATATTCTCCAGCGTTATATGTATAATGCTCTACAGAAATTGTGTTTTATTAAATTGTATCTCTCTCCTGCAACTAACATCCAGTTACATCTATCATCAAGTAAAATTCCAGCCAATCAGGGCCTTCAAAATGATGCAGAAGCCCTGCAAATGACTGCTTCCAGATTTCTGCTATGTAAGGTTCCATCAAATGACGTACTAGACCGGGTCATACCATAACATGGCACTGTACCAGCTTACATACATTCCTATAATGCTTTCTTTTATACTTAAGAGAAGCCACAGTTTAATTAAATACAAGACAATGTTATACATCCAACTCAACCTTTAATTTTTATGACTTCATTCCCATCAGGCTTCGTAAACAGTAAAGGATGTGTCAGTGTTTACTTTTTTATTTTTATTTGACCATTGTGCACGCAGCACGCTGGAGATCCGAACCATTGCTCAACACAGAGCAAAGCAGGCTAGATCTCCAGGGGTTCCTGCACAGTACTCCATTAAACAGCCCTCAAATTCAGGGGGCATGTTGGACCGCTGCTTGTGATTCTGTGGATTTCGAAATCGGTTTAATTGTCTATTCTTAACAACCTTCCAAGCAATTGTAATAAAGTGAAAGCACAGCTTCTGTAAAACAGGGAAAACCCCACAGGAGCTGTGCTTGTTCTTCCTGGTTCAGATTTGCTTAGATGTGGCATAATGAGGAGGAACAGCGCCCATATACAGGAGCTCAAGGTGAAGTCGGGCCAGTGAAACCTATGCCATTGCACATGGCTGTGGTAACACCCTGCATTCACAGTATGTCCTCAGCTTTCCAGGTTGAGTGAAGCTGGGTGTCTCTCAATCTGAAGGACTGAGGACATCTAGTGGAGAAAAAGTGGTATTGTGGGTCTCTGCAGTGACAGGATAGAGAAGTGAGCGAGCGCCGGTATGTGTTTTGCTCACTTCCCGATCTAATGAGCCGACCTGTGACAGTTTCATTGTCACAGGCCGGCTAGAGCCAAAAAACCCCTTGTAGTCAACCCCCTCAGTTAGCCCTAAAGGAACCGATCCTCAAGGAAGAGTGAAGCTGGATGTCTCTCAATCTGAAGGATCTAGTGGAGAAAAAGCGGTATTGTGGGTCTCATCTCCAGATTGCAGCCGGAGCTTTTTAAAAAAAAAAAAATCCCAGAGTTAGCCCTAAATGACCCGATCCTCGAATCACACTGGGTTGCTGACTAGACGGTGGAAGGGTTTATAGGAACTTTTACATCTGAGACTTGGAAAATAATTTCCTACTGAATGTGTCTCAAAGAAAAAAACAAAAACACAACAACAACAAATCAATGTCTTTGTTGCCCCAGGAACAAAACAGCTTCTTTTCTATATCCAAAGGGCAAGACGGAGATCAGACATTTTCAACTTCTCAAAGCACTGGCTGAGCTCACATTGTATTGTTTGGCGTGTCTTAGTAGCGGCTTTGTACGCCGCTTCTTTACTGCACGCTCTGCATTTTGCGGTAAATCTGCAATTTGCTTCTCCAGGGTGTCAGTGTTGTGTAGTCAAATCTTTCTGGTTTTGTTATTGTTTTCTTTCCTTTTTTCTAACTGAACGTTCTTCCGGTTTTATGCAAAGTTAAAACCATAAACCTAAATGACAAGTGTCATGGGAGAGAGAACTAAAAATAGTAGTTACATGTAAATGACAGATTTGTAAAAAGGTATGATGTAGAATTATTATATGACACACACTATATATATATAT